TCTGAACAGTTAGCAGTCCTGTGCTGATCCTGTAGTGCCTCACCAGGTTGCCAACAAAGGATTGTTGTTATTGTTAGGTGTCATTGAGTTGGTACCGACCCATAGTGACCCTATGCACAATGGAACAAAACACTGCCCGATCCTGGGCCAACCTCACTACTCCTGCAATGCTTGAGTCCATCAATGCTGTCACTTGGTCAATCCATCTCGCTGGGGTCTTCCTCTTTTTCTCTGACTCTCCACCTAACAAACATGATATTAGCATCTAATAAATATAAATAGAATGGGGGCCGGGTGAGTGAGGGCATGCATGGTGGCTGGGCCCCAAGTGAGCAGAGAAGTCCTGTGCCTGCTCCAGGAGGGTGTGGGCCCTGAGGTCAGGCCCCAGCAAGGCCCTGGGGACTGAGGAAGGCGTCAGAGCTGTGACCTTGTAGAACTGAGGGAAGGGGGGAAGGTGAGGGCCCAGAACCTGGGGACTCTAGACTCTTGGGGTTTCTGTACATTTTCCAGTACATGCTGTCTGGTAAGCTAGGTATTTCCGGCAACTATCAACAGCCCTTGGCCAGGGACTGGGGTGGGGGTGGGGGTAGACCATGCAGAGCTTCCTAACGAAGGCAGAATGGCAGGATGGGCAGCCTGGCTGTGAAGCAGTGCAGTTTGCAGGTTCTGCTCCTTTACCCTTCCTGTTCCTGAGTGCAGATGGGGGTGACTTCCTCACTGACTGGAGGGGAGACTAAGGTCAGTGTCACAGAGCAGTGAGGCAGGGTCCATGCCCTGGTTACTTCTCTGAGTGCTAAGTATCTGGGCTTGGCTGCCTAGGGAGGGTGGACAAGGGCTTGGTGAGGTCAGGAGTTGGTCCCAGAGTTGGTGCACTCCTGGGTGGAGTCTTGAATCCTGAACTCAACAGAGTTCAAATCCCAGCGGGGCCACTTACTGACTTTGTGACACAGGGCGCTTGAGTCCTTTTTGAGCTTTGCTTTCTAATATTGCATCTCTTGTAGGGTCTTAGGGGATTTCAAGGCATACAATAGGTGTTCAATAATACCTGTCAGTCCCTCTCCATCCCATCTTCTAGGGATCCTCTTGGGCCCTGGGAGTTGAGTTTCCTTTCTTTCTCCTGGGTCAGGGACTCATGTCTCTATCTGAAAGCTGGAGGTCAGGCAGAGGCCAGGTTTTGAGGTTGTCCAACTCTGTGGCCTTGGGCAGGTCCCTGCTGTCTCACAGCCTCAGCATTCTTATCTGGCAAATGGGGACAGAATCATTCCCCACCCTGTACCATTGCCAGGGTTGTTGAGAAGATGAGATGAGTGAAGGGTGAGTGTGTTTTGTTTGTTTGTTTTATTTTTTAACATGTGTGGTTTTTACAAAATAGCTCCAGGTACCTGCTGCTACTTCTTGTACACATGCAGGCTTCTGCTGTGGGAAATGAGAGGGGATGGGTGCCCCTTCTGGACCCCCAGAATCGCTGACGTGAGGATGGGGATGGGGGAAGAGCAGGCAGTGGTGGGGTCAGGGGAATGGACCCACTGGCCGGGATTTGAAACCTGGCTTTACAGACAAGCACTGACTTACTTGTCTTTGTTTACTAATGTGTAGTGAACAGTTTCACATGCTTTTTCACCAGAGATGTGGTAAAAATCCATGTGCATTTCTTCATTACAGATTAGGAAGTAAGCACAAGTTGGTAAGTATCGGGTACTCCACCCCTGTCTATAGGATAGAGTAGACCTGCCTCCTTGCGTTTCCTAGGCTGCAATCTTTATAGGAGGTCTCTAACCCTCTTCTCCTGAAGAGTGGCTGGTGGGTTCTAACTGCTGACTCTTCCGTTAGCAGCTGAGCTCTTTAACCATTGCATCACCAGGGTTCCTTAAAACAATACTTCTTGTTGTTGTTAAATGCCATTGAGTTGGTTCCGGCCCATAGTGACCCTGTATAGGGTTTTCGAGGAGCAGCTGCTGAGCTTGAACCGCTGACCTTGCAGTTCAAACTAACCTGCAAGCTCAAATTGCAGTCCAGCCCATTAACCCACAGCACCACACCAGGACTCCAAAACAATACTAGAATTTCTAAATGGTTCTAAATCACATTATTTTATTCATTTCTAGTGTTTTCTGATGCTCATGGTTAACAAAGACAACAGCATGTCATTTAAAAATAAAAATATATAGAAGGGTGTGTTCAAAAGCTTTTACTGACATGGGTGCATGATCAAAACATCTGAGCCCTCTGGGGTTGGGACTAGCATGAGCTCTGAGGTGGTTTGGGGGAGCAGAGTATTGGGGGGCACTAGAATCATTCTGGGAATCCTAGTCCCTAATTTCCATTCTGTATCCAACTCACTGGAACCGACTCCATAGTACTTAACAACAACAACATCCAACTCGCTGTGTGTCCTCAGGTAAACTGCCTAACTTCTCTGAGCTTAAAAAACAAATGCATGGAACAGAGGTTGGGATTGTCTAATTTTGAACTTCAATCTAAATCTCATACTAACTTGGAAACTTGGATCTGTGTAAGTCTCTCCTGTCATAATGGGCAGATAGATGCTCACGTGCCCTGTCTGACCACCCTGTCTCATCTGTGCTTTGTTCATACATCTCCAAGGATGGGCTTGGAGATGTACGAACTCATCATTTCACATAACACCCATTTTTCCCCTGGACTGAGCTGTCATCTGCCTTCCTTTCTCTCTCATAAAGGTGAAAACACGAGGAGAGGCGCTGGGTTCTCACTTACAGCTTTTCTCTTAGGCTTAGCCCCAGCCCCACCACACTGCCTTCTGCCTTGGACTGCTCTCACCCTTCCTGGGGAAACAAGCCTCTTGGGTTCACCCTGCACCAGGTGGAGGGGCCAGCCAGAGCAGGCAGGGCTGTCAATCTCTGGCCCCCTGCTTCTGATACATCTCGGCCACTTCACACAAGTCCTGTCTGAGTACCACCCGATCAGCCCAGAACTAAGGGTTTTACAAACATGAAGCCATTTATTCCTCCTACATCCAGCGATTGATGTTTTCCAGATGAGAAAATGAAGGCTCAGAGAGGTGAAGTGACTTGTCCAAGGTCCCATAGTGAATATGGAGCTCTACTTGGGATCAAATCCATCTCTGTCTCACCCCAAAGCTTGACTCTTCATCACTCTTCTGTGTTGCTTCCCTGCCCCCCACTACCTCCCTGCAACCACGAACAGAAGGTAGCAGAGCAGGGAAACAAGTTGAGACTTGTATCTGAGGGCAAAAAACCACACAGGCATCAAGGGGGAGACAGATGGCAGGTGTCTATTCCATCTTTGCTGAGCTTGAATTACCAGGTCAGGGCCACCTGGGAAGCAATGTAAACTTGTTGTTAAATGCTGTCCGATCAGTTTCCACTCATAGTGACCCTGTTCAGGGTTTCCAAGGAGTGGCCAGTGGGTTTGAACTACCAACCTTACAATTAGCAGTCCAGTGCTTATCCTACAGTATCACACCAGGACTTAGGCTATGTTAATAGAGATAGGATGCCCATTGCAAGGAGAGATAGTCTTTCTGTTCTCGCTGTGGGCAGATAGTGCCAGGAGTATGTGTGTGTGTATGTAGTGTGTGTGCATAGTGTGGGAAGGATGGAGATCATGGTAAAAGAAGGTGGTGAATTTCTCATGGAAATATTTACACAGAAGTTGCTTGGCACTTATGGGGCTACTGATGGAGATAACTGCAATGGATGGTAGAGGGAATGGAAAGGTGACATCTGAGGTCACTTTCAAACTGGGCTTACAAATACACGTCAAGAATAACTAGGGTTATCCCTGACACTCAGGCCCACCAACTTGGTCCCTCCTCCATCATTCTTAGCAAGTGTCTCTGAGGAGATATTATTCATCCAGTCAAGTGTTCATTCATTCATTCATTCATTCATTCATTCATTCATATGTTCAGTCAACAACCCAACAGCTAGAACAGTGAACAAGACAGACGTTAGCCCTGCCCACCTAGAGCCTAGAGCCCAGTAGGGGAATAACAGTAATCATAATTGTCAGTAGGTGTTGAGCACTTGCTATCTGCCAGGTACTCTAAGTGAATTATCCCATCTGGCTCCATTAAACCCTATGTTGTTGTTGTTATTATTGTGGCTATTAAGTGCTGTCGAGTAGATGCTGACTCACAGCGACCCTGTATAGGGTTTCTGAGGAGCAGCTGGTGGGTTTGAACTGCCGACCTTACGGTTCGCAGTCCAGTGCTGATCCACAGCACCACACCAGAAGTCCTATAGGCATTATTATGATTCCCATTGTGCAGGTGAGGAACCTGAGGGGTTGGCAGGCAATCCAGGAGGCAGGGACTCAGGGGACAGATGCTATGCCAGGTCTGGGTCCTGGAAGCAGGGATTTCAGTTCCATATTTGATCATTTCAAGAACTCAAAGCTCTATGATGCTCAGATACTGATGCCCAGGGCCTGTCATTACAAAGGGGGTGCAACGAAGGGCCCCAGCCAATAATAGTTGTGGTTTATGAGGACCCAGAAAGTTCTAGGTGTTCTCTGGGATATTTTCATTTTATCCTCACAATGGCTTTGTGATCTAGTAGTTTCATCCCCATTTTACAGATGGGGAACATGAACCCTGGCAATACAGCATTTAAGCGCTTGGCTGTTAACTGAAAATGTCAGAGGTTCGAACCTAAGATGTGGCAGTTGGCTTCTATAACAATGACAACCTGAGAAAAATCTATGGGGCAGTTCTACACTGTCCCATAGAGGTGCCATGAGTAGGAATCAACTTGATGGAAATGGGTTTGATAGATGGGGAAAATGTGGCACAGAGATGTCAAGCAATTTATCCAAGGCCACACAGCCAAGGAGGGGAAGAACCAGGATATGAGCTTGAACTGCCATCTATAAAGGCCACACTGACCTGGCATTCCATCTCCCCCTGGACATGCCCCTGACAGCACACCATCAGGGTGGGGGTTGTAGGGGTGGAACTGCTCAGGCCTTGCTGACCAGTGCTCTGTTCTGCCCTTCAGATCATGAGTGTCTTGTTGCTCATCGAGTACTCAGTGGAGGTGGCTCATGGCAAGGCCTCCTGCAAGCTCTCGAAGACTGGCTACCTCAGGATTGGTGGGTCCAGTGGAGGATGGGCTGGGGGTTGGGGACGAGGGGTGACTGGGAGGAGGGCTGGGAAGGATGGGGAGAGTCCCAGCCCAGGGCAACAGGCTACAGTTTGAGGCTTTGCCACTTAGCTGGATGACCTCAGGCAAGTCCCTTCTCTTTTCAAAACCTCAGGTTGTCCATCTGCAAAATAGGGGTATTCTACCCGTCCCCACCCAAGTGTCAAGGTCCTGAGAACAGATGGGGTGGCCTTTTGCAATCCCATACAGCTATTAAGGCTGACAATAGGACTTCCCTGACAAATGGCTTCATGTGAAAGTAAAGTCAACATTTCTCACAGAGCCGGCTCCCTGCATCCTCCCCTCACTCACCTACCACACCACACTCCTCCCTGTCTCAGGGTCCTTATGGACAGAATCTTTGTCACTTGGCTAGCAGACCACCTTCCCTGAGCCCGGTCTCCCCTCCCCACCCCATATCCTCTGCTATATTCCCTGAGGTATTTTCTATGTGACCTGAAATGTTCTCAAGACTGAGACTAAGTCCCTGAGGAGGTGGGGGGAGCAAGGCTCTTGTTCATTGTTCTATCCCTACACAAAGTGTGGTCCTTCGAACACAGTGTGTGTGGGGGGTGTTCTCTCTTGTCTTTCAGCCGACCTGCTCTCCAGCTTCCTGCTCATCACCATGCTCTTTGTCATCAGCCTGGGTCTGCTGGTAGGAGTGGTGAAGGTGAGGGCCTAGGTGGGGGAAGAGGAGGTGGAGCCAGGAGCTGGGGGCTGGGAGGAAGGGGTGCTGCCCCTCCCATTCATGCCCATTGGGTGGGAGATGGGCCTTTTGGGAAGCCCAGCTGCACTTCCCTGGGGAGAACCACTAATTGCTTGGACTGGGGCCTTGGCTCTCTGCTGAAGTACGGGTCCCAGGGAGGGCCCTGCACCTTGGAAGTTGCACCACTGACACTTTAGTAAGAACTAGTTGGCAACCCACGTCCTTCGAAACTGCTAGGTTGGTAAGGACATTTGATAGAACAAGGAGGAGGGGTCAGTGAGGGGTAGGGGAAAGGGTGGCACGCTCTGGAATTTGGGATGGGTGTGTGGATGCTGAAACAGTCTGGTGTGGGCATGCTCTGGTTCCATTCCATCCAGCAGTATGTGCTGCACCCAGAACCATGCTCTGGAAAGTTCTCAGGGAGCCCATGGGTCTCAGAGAAGCAGAGACAACCCAATGCTGCTTGTCTGGAGGGGAAGCTGGTGACATCGCTGAGCTAGGCTATGACTCAGCATCCTGCAAAGTAGGAAGCTCCTGACTCTAGGCCCTCAGAGAGGCAGGAGGCCATGTGGGGGTGGGCAGAGAATCTGACTCTGGCAGAGTGGGGCCCTAGGACCTCACCATTCACTCCCACCCTCTCTTGAAACCCCAAGATTTCCCATTATGCAGGATGCTTTGTACAACCACACAAAAGCACCGGCTAGAGAAATGGATCTGGTTGTCTTAATCAGGACCCCAAACATCTGAGATTCAGTCTGGGTTGTTTGAGCTGCTCCCTGAGTGCTTTAGAGAAACCACCTGAGTGTGCCTGTGTCCCCACTGATGGCAGCATTCACAGGGTCCATGAGGGCCCATGCTTTATAGCCTCTTACCTCACTGATCATCATGAGGAGTGGCTGACGCCCAGGAAGTCCAGCCACCACACATGATGTTCTCTCCCAATCTGGCCTTTGCCATCCTCTCTCCTCCTGCTTTTTCCTCATTACCTTTCCAGACCCTGACTCAGTGTCTCCACCTCCAGAAAGCCCTCTCTGGTCCCTTGTCATCTGAGAAATGGACACAAAGCCCTTCCTTGAAGGGTTCTTGTGAGAGAATTGAGTCAAGCCTCTCTCCTTGAGTCTCTGAAGCGAGTGTCCCTTCCGCACTTGCCTCCTGCAACACCATGACTCCTGGAACTCAGGGCCTAGTCTGGGTCTCTCCCTGGCCCAAAGTGACAGTGAAGGGAAGCCATGTGGATCCATGTGGGTGACCTGAGCTGATTTGAGAGAGGGCCACATTATCTGGGGGAAGGGAGAGAACTGAGGGCCAGGGGCGCATGGAAGCAGTGTTCAAGGGACACTGGATTTGCCTTTCAGAATCGAGAGAAGTACCTCCTGCCCTTCCTGTCCCTGCAAGTCATGGATTTCCTCCTGTGCCTACTCACCCTGCTGAGCTCCTACATCGAGCTGCCTGCCTACCTCAAGTTTGCCTCGAGGAGTCGGGCCGTAAGTCCCCAGCCCTGCCCCGGCCTGCAGAGCCTAGGGAGGTGGGAGGGGGCCCCAGCATATGGTCTGGGCTCAGCCCTTGGCCCCTCCCTGAGCCTCTCCCAATCACTCCAAGTTTCTTCATTTGTCAAATCTGTCTGTAATCGCATCTCCTCAATGTGACCGTGTGCAGATTAAATGAAGAAAATATATAGTGAAGACTTTGCATGTGGTCAAACGTGCTGGTATAGGACAGAGTAGAACCATCCTATGGGACTTCCAATGCTATAATCTTGGAAGCTAGTTTTGGTGTGGCGCTGCAGGTTAATGCGCTAGACTGCAAAGTTGGTTTGAACTGCAAGGTCGGTGGTTCAAGTTCACCAGCCACTCCTCGGAAACCCTATATAGGGTCGCTATGGGTCAGAACCAATTCGATGACACTAACAACAACAACAACAGTTTGGAAGCCGACTGCTACTTTTTTTTTCCCAGAGTGCAGCTGGTGGGTTCAAGCAGTTGTCTTGCAGCCCAGCACTTATGCACTGTGCCACCAAGGTGGTGGCACATGGTTAAGCTCTGGGCTGTTAACTAAGACCAACCCAGTGGCTCTGTAGGAGAAACACCTGGCAATCTATTCCCCAAAAGATGACAGCCTAGGAAACTCTATGGGGAAAAAACCTGTTTTGTCTCATGGGGTTAGTATACGTTGAAATCAACCCAACAACACCCAATGACACCAACAGCAAGGACACCATAAAGACCCTCTTTCTGGGTGTGGTCTGACGCTATAGGAGAGCTCATACCCACCCCATGCCTAGCGCCTGTTTGGCACTCCTCTGTAACCAAGCTGAAGGAAGGAAGGAAAGATGATTAAAGGCAGCCATGAGCACCCATGATGGTGGTCCCTGATGGTTCCTTCGAACACTTCCCCTGACTATTGTCATTGAGGACGCTGAGGGGCTACATAGGGGGAAATTTGTGGGCCAGGAGCCAGTGTTGGATTACCCAATATGCAAGGTAAGCACAGGCCTATGTGTGCTTACTTACTAATCTGTGTGAACAGTTTTGCGTTTTTTTCACTACATCAAAGATTCTGCTTCTAGATATAGATAGCACCTGCCTCTCTGCCAATCCCAGAGTGCCTTCCAATAAATTCATAAGCCCTGGCAGGGATAGAGTATCTAGGAAGCACTGTAAGCGTAGGCTTACTTGTGTGTGCTTACTATTCTGTAGTGAACTACTTCACATGACTTTCCCCCACATCTCTGTGTTTACCTTGCCTTCCTGGGTAATCCACCTGGTGTGAACACCTCTCTGGGCCTCCATTTCTCTCTGCTCCGTGGAGGGCTGAACTGGAGAATAGATGATATGCCATCTAGCTGAGGAGCTACTATGTGCCCTGCAGTAACAGAGCTCTTTGGTGGTGGTGATGTGCCGTGGAGTCAGTTCCGACTCATAGCAACCCTGTACAGGGTTTCCAAGGCTGTAAATTTTTACGGGAGCAGAAAGCCTCATCTTTTTCTTGTGGAACAGCTGGTAGTTTTGAACCGCTGACCTTGAGGTTCGTAGCCCGATTTGTTACCACTATGCTACCAGAGCTCATTGTTGTTTTTGTTGTTATGTGCCATGGAGTCGGTTCTGACTCATAGCGACTCTGTAAATTTTTACGGGAGCAGAAAACCTCATCTTTCTCCCACGGAACGGCTGGTAGTTTCGAACTGCTGACCTTGCGGTTCGCAACCCGATTCGTAACCACTACACTACCAGAGCTCCTTGGTGGGGTCTAATTGCTGGCCTTTCTTCTTCCTCCTTGTTTTTGTCCTCCCAAGGGCTCCTCTAAGGTCCCACTGATGACTCTGCAGCTTCTAGACTTCTGTCTGAGCATCATGACCCTCTGCAGCTCCTACATGGAAGTACCCACCTATCTCAACTTCAAGTCCATGAACCACATGGTGAGTCTGGGCAGAGCTCTGCTCCTGCTCACTGCTGTGTGACCTAGAGCAAGTTACTTTGCCTCTCTGTGCCTCAGTCTTTTAGGTCAGCTTCCCTAGTAGTGAAGCCTGGGAGGAGAATTCTCTTTTGAGTGATTTATTGGGGGACAGCTTTCAGGAAGACATCTGTAATGGGGTGAGAGAAGCAGGTTAGAGAAAGGGGGAAGATAGGCACAGATGTGGCCTCAGCAGCAGTCCTCCCTGATCCCAGAGGGAGCACTAGAGGATGAAGGCCAACACAGAAATAGTCTTAGCCTTTCATTCTGTGTCACAACCACTCCCAAACTCTGCTCTAGGGTTTCTCCTGAGGCTGCGCTCGAATCACCACCTGAAGACTTGAGCAGGTGAAGGATCAGGTCCCAAGGTTGTTGGCTTTCTGTCTCAGTTCCTCACCATGTGGACCACTCATAAGATGCTTGAGCATCCTCACCATATAGCAGCTGCCTCCCATGAATGAGTGATCCAAAGGGGAGGGCCAGTGAGGAGGCAACTGCAGTTTCTTACCTGTCCTATGAGCAAGTCTTAGGAGTTCCTCACTCACCTCTGCCCCTTCTATTCATTAGAAGTGAGTCACTGAGTTCAGCCCACACTCAAGGGGAGGGCAGGTAAAGTCCACAGTTTGAAGGGAGGAGTGTTAAAGAAGGTGTGGACATATTTGAACACTGCTGCAGAGATGGTCCCAGCTAGAGCAAGGGGGCTGAATCATATGCTTTAGATTACTCAACAGAGGGGGCGCCTGGCAGGCCAGGATTAGGTGGCTCCCATCAACCAGGGCTATCCTGTAGAGAAGGGTGTAAGTGTGGTGCACTGGCAGTTGATAGCCACCAATCTGGTCATGGGCACCTGGATGGGGGATCAACACATCTGCTTCATCTGGTTTTCTTACCTGTCAAATGGGGTGAAGGCTAGCAACCTACTTCCAACACATGTTGTGGCTACTGATCTAGGTAACGAATGTGCCACACCATGCTCCTGAGGGTGCTGAGATGGCTCATTAATCCTAGAAGTATGGCTGGGGTCATTAATATAGTCCCCAAATCTGTTGCAGAATTACCTCCCCAGCCAGGAGGGCTTGGATCATAGCCAGTTCATCAAGATAATGATCATCTTCTCTGTCGCCTTCATCACTGTTCTCATTCTAAAGGTGAGTGGCCTTGGCCATGCATGCCATACTGTTAGAGGGCGGGGGAGTATGTCCTTCCTCCAGTCCTCCCTACACCTGCTCCATGGACCCCACATGGGATCCTCTGGAATATCCATCGAGAGAAAGTGGATGGCCCAAGACTGCCCATGTTCAGGTATCGGGGACTTAATGGTTAACCCTGACCCAGAGACAGAAAAATCTGCTCTGTGTCTTCAGTTAGAATTAGACAGACGTGGGTTTGAATTTCAACTCAACCCTCACTAGATGTGTTCTTATTTCTCAGTAAGCCACTTCTCTCTAGGTCTTGTGTTTCATCTGTAAAATGGGCATAGAAAGTCTCGTTTTGTCCAAGTCATAGGTTAATGTGACCCAGGTACCAAAATGTAGATGGAATCTGAAGTCCTATTTATAGAGGTTTGGTGATGAGAAGAAGGGAGAATGGTCAGGCTCAGAGGTTGGAGTTCAGTTTCGGGTCAGTTTTTAGACTGACTGGGAGTGCTCTTGCAGCACAGCCTGGAGGGTGACGATGCACGGAAGTGATGCCCTTTGAGGAAGTCAAGGAAACTAAAGCTATTGAACCTGGAGAAGAGGGGACATGGTTGTTGTCTCTGAAGATCTAAAGGACTCTCAGGAGGAAGAGGATTTAGGGCAATTCTGTGGGATTCCAGAGGCCAGACCAGGGCCCGTGGCCTGAAAACCCTGGAAGCTAATATCAACTCTACAGACGGAAGAGCCTTAAAAACCATTCACTTCCGCTTATGAAAATAACATGGGAACATCGTATTTAGAAGTCAAAGGCAAACAGTAAGAAGGCAGTGGCCCCTCATTCACAGTCATCAGGGGTCATCACTGCTGGTGTTTGGTTGAACTTCCTTCTAGTCTTATCTCTCTGTGCTGATAACCCTGAGCCTGCTCTACTCACACCCAGTGTCTACCTGGAAACACTACTTTTTGTTAATGTTGTTCAGTGTCATTAGAGTCGATTCCAATTCATAACAATCTCATATGACAGAGTAGAATTAACCCATAAGTTTTTCTAGGCTGTCATATTTAAGGGAACCGATCGACAGGCCTTTCTCTCATGGAGACAATGGGTGGGTTAGAACCACTGGCCTTTCAGTTAGCAGCTGCATGCTTGACTGTCTTGTGCCACCAGGGCTCCTTTTAAATCCTTCTCAGAGAATTAGCCTAGCACAAACACATTAGTGATTGTGCAATAAGAGCTTTCTTAAGGCTTCATGGGGAGAACAATGAGTTGTTTACGTGCCACATTCTACTGGGGAATAAGTTCCCAAGGCTCAGTGTACAACTCCATCTCTCCAGCCCTCTTCTACGTAGTTATCCTCCTTGGGAGGGGATATTCTTTCTGCCCCACTGGTCCCTCTTTCTTCTACTCAATTTCCTTGTCATTCATTCCCTTGTCATTCATCTTCTCTAGGCATAGTATGTCTGCCCTCTCACACATAGCTAAGTCCCCATCATGGAACCTTCCAAGTGACAAGACACGCTCTCCCTATCCACTTTGGGGGCTATTTCTTATTCTTTGAACATATCCTTTGGGAGTGGACACCCCACCTTGAAAAATCTAATCAGCGTGTTTCTTCTAGACAAACAGGTCATTGTCCCAATTTGCATACCAACTACTGAAAAAAAAAAAGGGAAAATGAATCTTATTTGGACAGATACATGCATCTAAATATATGGTGGGGCTTAAAAAATGGAATTAAAAGATAATAGAATTTTCCTGAAATTTTTGAAGCCCCCTCATATAATTCTTCTTCATTTATAAAGAAGGGCTCATGTGAGATCCATTGTTTTGTAATCTGCAATTGTGAAGAAAATCTTTCCTGCCATCAGCTCTATCTCAAGATGGGCAGGGTCATCTCAGAAGATAGTGAGTCCCTAGTGCTGGACTCTTGCCAGAGAGACTAGAGGACGGGGGAGAGCCCTAAAAAGCACACCCGGCCCTGAGAGCAGGTCCCTGGGTGGTACAAATGGTTTGTGTGCAGCTACTAACCAAAGAGTGGGCAGTTCAAATTCACCCAATAGTACCAGGAAGAAAGGTCTGGCAATCTACTTCCATAAGATCACAGCCACTGAAAACCCTATGGTGCACAGTCCTACTCTGGCTCGGATTCCATGCCAACAAGAAACCGATAGCCTATAGACAATGGAATGCTTGCTACTGTCAGGGGAGCTCCTTCCCCCAACCACAATTGGGGATCTGAACTGTAGGAGATGCTGCCTTCTGGGTGAACTGTGCCCCTTCAGGAAGTGCCCAGTGTCTGCCCCAGGTCTACAAGGGTGGTGGGAAGGAGGGTTAGCAAAGCACAGCCTGACGTGGACCTTTTTCTAGGTGTACATGTTCCAGTGTGTGTGGAGGTGTTACAGATTCATAAAGTACATGAACATGGCCGAGGAGAGGAGCAGCCTCAAGATGCTCCCAAAGGTGAGCCTGGTCAGCCTTCAGCTCTGTCACGCACTGATTGTGGGATCTGTGTAAAGTCCCTCCCCTACGGGCCTCCATTTCTCTACTTGTAGGATGTGGGTAGGTCCAGAAGAAATGTGGAGATTTCTTTTTTGTTCCATGAGTCTAGGATGTTATTAATTAATTAACTAATTAATTAATTAATTAATTCGGCATGTCCTGCCTCTGATTAGTTGTCAGCTTGTGTCGAGCCTGGGGTACAGAGGAAATGAAGACGCCATCACTATGCTGGATGAGCCAGACACACAGGCCTCATGCACCACAGGAGCTATGGGGGCAGGATGTTCCTGGCCTCATTTGTGCTGTCAGAAAGGCTTCCTGGAGAAGGCGACACATCTTTGGTCATGTCTTAGATAGACAACCAGTACAAGTTAGCTGGGAAAGGGGAGAGAGCTCTTTCTGGCACAGAGGTTGAGATCTGCTTAGAAGACTGGGGAGAAGCGATGAGGAAAAGTGCAGTTGGTTTAAATAACTAGTGACTGACATCCCTCATCTGCAAAATGGGGATTGTATTAGCCAAGACTTCTGTTGTAAGTGACAGAAACACACTTTAGCAAAATGAGAATTTATTCGTTTATGGAGATGAAAAGTCCACTGTAGGTCTGGCTTTGGGTCTGGCCAATTTCAAACACTAGGGCACAATCTTATTCACTCCATCTTTTGACTCCACTTTCCTCAGTGTTGACTCCATTTTCAAAAAGCCCTTTCCTCATGACTGCAAAATGGCTGCCCAAACCACTAGGCTGACATCCCATCCTCTTAGCCCCAACAGAAAAATAAAGTTTCTGGAGTATATCTGCTTGGGCTAGCTTGCATCACATGCCCATCCTCAAACCAATGACTACGGCACTGAAACGGGATTCCGCTTTGACTAGCATTGTCCAGGTCACTGTTTTTTTTTTTTTTTTTTTTAACCATTTGTTTTTCCAAGGAAAATAAAGCACTGTCAAAGCCAGGGGCAGCTGAGACTGGATAGGCAAAGGCAAGTCCACTTCTGGGACACTAACTGCCCTTTATCTCATGCATGCAATGCCTGACACATAATATGTGCCTAATACACATTGTTATTGTTATTAAGTGCTGTTGAGTCGGTTCCAACTCACAGCGACCCAGTATAGCGCTCCTGAGAAGCAACTGGTGAGCTTGAACCACTGACCTTGTGGTTCAAACCGACCTTGCAGTCCTGTGCTTATCCTATAGCGCCACACCAGAAGTCCTAATACATAGTGTTGTTGTTGTTGTTAAGTGCTATCGAGTCAGTTCCAATCCATAGTGACCATGCATAGGGCTTCCTAGGAGTGGCTGGTGAATTTGAACCACCAACCTTGCGATTCAAACCGACTTTGCAGTCCAGCACATTAACCCACAACCAGAACTCCTAATGCACATTGTTGTTGTTGTTAAGTGTCGTCAAGTTGGTTCCGACCCATAGAGACCTGTCTAGGGTTTCCAAGGAGCAGCTAGTGAACTTGAACCACCAAACTTGCAATTCAAGTGGCTTTGCTGTCTGGTGCATTAATATTGGAGGGTGGTGGTGGTGTGCTGTGGAGTTGATTCTGACTCACAGCGAACCTGTATAAGGTTTCTGGTGTTGTAAATCTCTACGGGAGCGGAAAGCCTCATCTTTGGCAGACAGCTGGTAGTTTTGAACTGTTGACCTTGAGGCTAGCAGCCTGACTCGTAACCACTATGCTATTGGTGGTGGTTATGTGCCATGGAGTCGGTTCCGACTCACAGTGACCCTGTATAGGGTTTCTGAGGCTGTAAATCTTTACGGGAGCAGAAAGCCTCATCTTTCTCCTGCGGAACAGCTGGTAGTTTTGAACTCTCGTCCCTGAGGTTAGCAGCCTGATTTGTAACCACTATACTACCTGCACTCTTTGCTATCGAACATCATTAATATCTTCATTTTTCCAGAGGTGGGGGGTTGAAATGTGGGTCTTTCTTGCTAATCCTTAGTCCTTGTCACTCTGTATCTCCCAGATGATCCTGCCATCCTACGAGGAAGCCCTGTCTTTGCCGTCCAAGGTTCCTGAGGGGGACCTAGCACCGCCCCCCTACTCAGAAGTGTGATCCTCGCCGGACCCCAGCCCTGGTGTTGGGGGTGGTAGAGCTGCATCATAATCTGCTTCTTTGCTTTGGTGGCCCCTGTGGCTGGGTGGACCCCCCCTCCCCCAGCTGACTTTAGGACAATCTGCTGTGTCCCCCTCGCTGGCCTGCTCCATCCGCTGGCCTGTGAGATGCTCACAATTAGGTCAACTCTTCTGGCTGAATGTCTTTCCAAAATTCAGACCAACAACACTGGGCTTATTGTGACCAACTCTGACACTTGTTTAATCAATGGATCGTTTTAAACTCAGTGAGCTTAGTAAAACAATTGTCATCTTGACCAATTTAGCCAAACAGTTGATGAAACGGAATCACACTTGTCAATTCAGCAAAGTAATTCCATCATAGAGACATTGCAGAACTTTGTAAATAGTTGTCAGTTCACACAGAGCAATGGAGTTGAGAAATTGTAGCTTGTTCTCCCATTAAATATACGTATAGTACATATGTGTATATAAATACATACACATACACAGAAACAATTTCTTCAACTAGCTTACTTAGACAATGACCAATTCATCTAACCATCAATTTATTAAGAATAATGATAAAATTCTGTTAGAAAAATCAAATGAACTCCCAAGCTACTCAATCGAGTCCAACAACTGATGGCCCTTTCTACTTAATTCAGTACTTCTGAGTCACTGAATAATTGTCAATTCAAATGAAAATTTGGTCAAACAGTTGCCAGTGTAACATACAACAGCTAGTTCCAGGAAATAACAGTTGTTTCCATCATAAAACAGTTACTTCAGACACCAACTGTTTTGCTAAAGAGTTGTCACCATTACTAACAAAACGATTGCCTGTTGAGTCACCCTTTGTTCAGTGCGCCAAATGGCAGTGGCTCTGTGAAAAGAGGCAAATTAATCACAAGCAAATTCACTGATCAGGCCGTCGGTGACACTGATTCAGTCATAGGTACATCAGTTCTGCCCAGTAACACCTGTGACCAAATCGACATTGTGCTTGGATATCAGTCAAATCTGTTTGTTGGACTAAATCTACTGGTTAGTTCAGTCAAAACAGGCAAGCCCTTTGTGGACACAGGCCCTGCCATGAGATCTTGTGCTTGGCGGTGGGATTAGGAAAGTTTACGCCCCAGCTTCCTCTCTCTTGCCTGTTTTCTGATGGGTCAGAACTCCTGGGGGAGCTGACCCAGAGGTGGAGAGAGGACCATGAAATCAGATGCTCCGGGGGTGTTCAAGAGATGCAGAGGAAGAGAGCTGGCCAAGGGGCTCCCTGCCAATGCCCTCTTGTGTGGGACAGGGAAGAATTTTCAATAAAGCAGCAGCAAGCTTCTCTCTGGCTGGAGTGGTTCATGTAATATGGTGTAGCAGGGGTGGGGTTGGGGGTTGCCTTCTATTTCCATCACCCCAAAGCACACACACACACACACATGTACACATCCAGACAGTCAGCATCCCGATCTGACTCCATTTCTGAACCAGAATCCTATGCTTCCCATTCATTCACCTACTGCCTCCCAAATCTCACCTGGAGTTTGCCTACTGGGGTAACCTCATGCATGGGTCAGACCCACCTCTGGTTACCATGGTCTAGGATAGGGGATACAGGAATAATAGCCCATGCCTAACCCCATGCATGGAAAGTCTGGGGGCTGAGCCCAGAGAAGAGAGGGGCCAGCCACGACTTCCTGAAGGAGGTTTCACAAAGTGAAGTCTGAAATGCGAATCAGCAGCAGTAAGAAAAGTGCGGAAGAATGTTCTAGCTCAAAGGAGGAGGGTATATAAGGCCTCCAGAGAGTCGGGAGGGCAGAGCTGGGTGAGCAGCTCAGGGAGGCTGCAGGTGGGGAAGAGGTTGGTCAGTCTCCAGCTGGATCATAAAGGGCTTTTGCATACATTGGAAGTTTGGGCTGCAAGCCCCCCACCTGGCTAACTCCTGTTAGGAGGGGTGATAAGGGGATAGTTGCAAGAAACAGAAACCTTAGAGAATCAAGTTTATAAAGAGTGGGGTGAAGAGGTGGTTGTGATGTTTCTTTGCTCAGGTGAATGAAAAGTCCAGAGGTTTTTGGCTTTAGGCATGGTGGGACCCAGGACTCAAATGCTATCAGTAATCTCTCTCTCCACTTCTCACCTTCTTTCCTGGGGTCCATAAGCTGCTGGGGGCCTGTTTGAGAGTGCAGCCAGCAGTCAGTTGAGGGTAGTGTGTGCTGAGCTCTGTCATCAGCACCAGCAGATACCTAGCAGGGCCTTGAATGCCAGGCCAAGGTGCATGGACTCTATCCTAGGGCAGGGGAGCCTGGGAAGGGTTTTGGACAGGAGAATGATGAGCCGGAAGACTGCTGCAGTCATCCCATGGGAAAGAGAAGAAGGGGAGTGATTTGAGAAATGTTGCCAACCTTCTGGTGTTTTGGGAATGGCAGGTTTCCTCACAGATTTTATTTGCTCCTCATTGAATCCCCAAGCAGTTGATTAAACCTGAATGTAACAGAAATGGAAAGAGATGCTCCTTCTTCTGCATTTACATCAGAGTGAAGTGAGGCCCAGAGACATTAAGCTACTTTCTTGAGGTCACGCAGTGATTGAGTATTAAATCAAATGCCTATTTTGTCTACTCCACGTGGTCTCCAGGCTGGATGAGCCCTTGAGTCTTGTGAAGATGCATGTAAGAAGCCCATCCCCACCCCATTGAGAGAGCCCCCACCAAGTGAGGATTAGTAGTAAGGCCCATGGAAGGAGGGGGTCATCTCATCCTCACCAAAGGGGACTAAGGAGTCTCTGAGCACACTGATGAGACACCTAGTCCTCTCTTCTCCCCCGTCCCCTGGCCTGGGGCCCAGCAGTAGGCTGGGATGTGTAGGGGGATTGTGCCCTGTGGCCAGGCGGGCTGGGAGGGGGCTGCCGAAGAGCAGGAAATAGTTGGGTTTGGGGAAGTCCGCATGGCTCAGCCAAACCAAGCGGCTGAGATCGGCTGGGCAGCCTTGTCCAGCCCTATCAATGCCTCGTTTGAGGCTCAGACAGGGGTCCTTTGACAGGGGACGGGCAATTGGGACCCACTGAGGGGCCTGTTTGAGCTGGGTGCCGGAAAGAAGTTGGCCCCAGGAAAAGGGGGTTGCTCAGGGCAGGGCTGGGGGCGCTGGCTGGCTGGGCTGGCTGGGAGGGAAGGGAAGGTAAAATCAAACCTGGAGTGGCTGAACTGAGAACCTCACCCTTCTGGGGCCTGTGGTGGCACCAGGACCAGCCCTGTGAGTGAATGCGCCTTCAGTGTAGCATCTTCAGGGTTGTGTGGTCATTCCTGAGGTCTGGGAGGGGAAGGCACTGCTGAGGTCACTCAGCCATCGAGTGGCTCTAGGCCAGACCTGAGCTTCAGCTCGTGCCTCTGTCCTTCCTGACCAATCTCACCCTTGCTCTGGGACCCTCCACTTCACTAAACCTTCATCTTACTTTTCTGTCACCATCTTTGGGTTGGTGCATTGGGGAGGTCTTGGGACAGCAGGGAGCTCTGAGGAGTTACAGGTCCCTGGACTTGGTCACAAAGCAGTAGGACTTGAGACAGAAAGGACCTTAGAGGCTGCCGGTTCCAGCCCTTTTTGGTGTAATCTCTTGATGTAGGTCATCTCGTCCTATAGCTCCTCCTGCCAAGAGTGTCCCTTCCACCCTAGGATAACCCTGATGGCCAGCAAGCATTTCCTCCTGATTTTTCTTAATGAATTTTAATCTCTGGCTTTGAGAGCTACAAATCGACACTACATACCTCATGGTGGTCTCCTGAAGAGGTAAAAGGTGCCTTCCTGAACTCAGGTCTGCTCTGACATAGACTACCCTTCACTGTATGCCCATTTGCCAGTGCCCCGCCAAGTTTTTCAACTTTTAGTTATTTATTTATATGACCTGGATTTTGGACCTCTGATGGAATACTCATTCCTTCATATGTTCATTTGTTTATTCCAGAATATTCCAGAGGCCTACACTGTGTCGGGAGCACAGTAACTTTATATGATAAACTCTGGACTGTGAACCACAAGGTCCACAGTTCGAGGCCGCCAGCAGCTCCTCGGGAGAAAGATGAGGCTTTCTGCTCCTGCAAAGTTTCCTTCAGAAACTCTGTACAGGGTCTCTGAGTTGAAACCGACTCAGTGGCACTTAATAACAACAACAACAACTCCGTACCAGGGAACATGCTGGGACTGTAAGATAAGCACTGGACTGGGAACCACAAAGTTGGTGGTTTGAGCCCACCAGCTTCTCTGTGGGAGAAAGATGAGGCTTTCTGATCCCACAAAGATTTACAGCCTTGGAAACTCTATACACAACAACGTCTCTGTACCAGGCCCTGAGTCTGAGTGGCTGGGGACATGGAAAAAAACAAGGCTCTGTCTGTCCTGTCCTCATGGGGATCCTAGTCTAGCAAGAGGACCACAAAAGCAACTGGGGCATTGTGTGACCAGTCCTGAGATGGGGGATCCCCAGGGAGGATCGCTGATCCCAAGTGGCAGGATCAGGGCAGACTTCCTGGAGGAGGTGATTCCTGAGCTGAAGTAGGAGTCAGCTAGTGAAAGAGGTGAAGACACACTAGCTGTAAGGACCTGCCTCAGAAGAGGAATGGAGGTTTGAAAGCATTTGGAGAGGAGTAGAATGGGGCAGTATAGGTTTGAATCCCAGCTCCACCAGTTACAGGCCATGTGACCTTGGTGAGTGGCTTCACCTCTGAAACTCAGTTTGCTCATCCCTAAAGTGGCCTGGTCCTGGTGTGGCGCTGTGGGTTAATGCGCCAGACTGCAAAGCCATTTGAACTACAAGGTCGGTGGTTCAAACTCACCAGCTGCTCCATCTAGTTGGTACTGAACAAAACACTACCTGGCTCTGCGCCAACCTCACAATCGTGGCTCTGTGCCAACCTCACAATGAGCCCATTGCTGCTGCCACTGTGAAAATCCATATCCTTGGTGGTCTTTCTCTTTTTCTCCCACCCTCCACTTTACTAAACATGATGTCCTTCTC